GCGCCTCCCCGCCTAGGCTTTGGCTATAGGCCGGGGTCGGCGGATTTCATAGGCCACATCCAAGTTTCACCAAGACTAAGATTGCAAACTGCCAAAGAACCTCAATCTTGCTTCGTTCACTCGTCCTTCAGGATCGCTAAAGCCTTCATTCTTGGCTTTCTTCCTTGGAGTCGAGTGGTTGCTTGTTAGACACAAAATGTCAATACTGTAATTGATTAGTAATCTAGTTTTTCCTTTCAACATAGGTGCAGAATAGGCTCAGGGTGTAGTGCTGGCGGCCATTCTTATCCACAAAAACAAGGTAGATATCCCCGGCGTGGGCGCCTTGTAACCGCTTTCTCAACTCCACATTCCATTCCTGCACCGCAAGCTTTTCCACCACATCATACTGCCTCAGCTAATTCCAACCTGTTTGCCTCCTTGTTTACACAGTACTCAAACTTTAATACCATCATATGCAAACATGATACGATCGGGGTTTCTTTTTCTTTTTGGTCACCGCCAACTCCAGCTGCTTTGAGGGATGAGGGAGGTGTCCAGTCGCTCTACTCAACGCTTCTTGTTGAATTGCAGAAATCCTGAACTCAAACCGACCCGAAGGTAGGACAGTAGAGTCCTTAAAGTTCACGACATCCAGCAACGATTGCTTCTCCTTTCCCTTCTTCTTTGTTTTGGCCGGTTCCTGCACCACAGTGTGAAACAGGAGGGAACCAATCATGTGACACAGTACTGACAGATTCAACCTTTCATGTCACCCAAACTCGAAATGACCAGGCCTCTTCCTGCTCCTCCTTCACTCTAGAGCTTGCAGAGGCTTGGACCTGGGAGCCTCGGGTGGCCATGGAGGGCACATCACAAGAAGGGAGTTATAGTTCAATCACGTGAGTTCCAACTTGCCGCCCAGTGGCATTTGGAACGGACCCGGCGCAAAGGGACATCAGGCGTAGGCTTCCGCTTCCCCTGGGAGCCAGAAGGGTCTTCCATCTCCTTGTCCAGTGCCTTCTCAATAGAGTCCACCTGCAATGCTAAGGAACCCAAACATGCATAAATGTAAAAGTGAAATTATGGCACGCACGAAACCCATAATATAAAAATACAAAACTCTTATGCTCAAAAAGGCCACCCAGTTGAACATCTCGGGGATGGTAGCTTGCTTCATTTTCTTCAATTTGCGTAAAAGGCGAGCAAACCATGGAGTGAACGGGGTCGAGGTTCTTGTTTTTGTCCACCTCTTGATGTTGGACTTCGGGTATTCAATGCGAATGTGAATTTTGCCAGCCTTGCCATCCTCTTTATCGTTTTCCTCACTTTCATCTTCGCGCTTCACTTTCCCTTCATCAGCTAATTCCTCTTCACTGTCTGAAGAGCTGCTGCTGCTGCTGTCGCTGCTGCTGTGATGGCTGCTGCTTGCATCAGATTCACTGCTGGAATCAGCGAGCTTTTCTCCTTGACCCCCTTCATCTTCATTCTTCTCTTCAACTTCTCCGTCCTTCACTTCTACATTTGTGGCCACCTCTGGTTTACCTTTGGCCTCATCTTCCAAAACAGCTTCCTTTGCTGCCTCATCACACTCATCCACTTGTGTGTTTATGTCCTTGTTTTCATTTCCTTCGCCTGTGCAATCCTCTTCCTCTTCCTGATCTGATTCTTCCGTGTGGTGTTCACTGTCAGACATGTCTGAATCCTGATCTTTCTCTTCATCCTGTTTGGTCTCCTCCTTGTCTCGCTCTTCCTCTTCCTTTGCACCATCACGACAGTCTCCAACTTCACCACCCTCTTCATCCTGTCGGATTGTGTCACTGTTCTTGTCCATTGCTGTTGTCTCCTTGTCATCTTGATGGTCATCCATGTCTGAGTCATCCTGCTCTGCTTCCTCTTCCTCTCCCTCTGAGTTGTGTTCCTTTGCCTGTTTCTCCTCATCTGATTCTTCACCATCATCCTCACCATCATCCTCCGAATGGTTTGTTCCAATTGTTTCCCGGGCTTCCTCATTGTTGACTCCTTCCAAGTCCGTCTCACCTGTGTCAGACTCCGGGGAATCAATCTCCACCTCATCATCCTCGTCCTCGTTGCTCTGTTTTGTCTTCATTTGCGAGGGCATTGTTTTCGGAGTTGGTGTGGCTTCTTCTTTTTGCTCCGTGTCTTCTGGGTCACTCTTGTCATTCTCCTCCTCCTCCTCTTCCCCACGCCCTTCTGTGATCTCTTCTATTGAGTTTGCATGGATCAGAAGGGATTCTCGATCACCAGGATTGGTTGAGTCCAGGATTCTCTCCAACAAATCAAGTTGCGCTTCGGTGCGTATGATATCTTCCCTTTTACGTCGCTTGGCCTGCTCACTGTCCATTTCATTCTCCACTTCACTGGCTTCATCCTCATCATCTTCACAATCACTTTGTTCACATTCGCCATCTTCCTCACCCTCTTCACGGTCTAGCTCTTCCTGGTTCTTTTCAACACCTGCCTTTTGCTCTTCACATTCTTCACTGGCCCCATCTTCGTTGTCACTCTCGCTTTCCTCATTTGTTTTGCCTGCTTCATCCTGAGCCACCTCTGGCTCTTGTTGTGCTTCATCTTCATCTTCAGAGTCTTCGTCAGTTTGGTTTGTTGCATCGCCATTGTTGACCTCCTCTACCACACCTTCATCCTCCTCAGAACTTTGTTCTGCTTCATCCTCAGCTTCTTCTTCACTGACATTTGTTTTGTCCCTGGTGTTTGTCTCTTTCGTGTGCACCTTCTCTTCTGCACTGTTTCCTTCACTTTGTTCTGCTTCATCCTCAGCTTCTTCTTCACTGACATTTGTTCTGTCTCTGGTGTTTGTCTCTTTCGTGTGCACTTTCTCTTCTGCAATGCTTCCTTCATTTAGTTCATCCTCAGCTTCTTCTTCGCTGACATGTGTTCTGTCTCTGGTGTTTGTCTCGTTAGTGTGCACCTTCTCTTCTGCAATACTTCCTTCATCCTCAGATTCATTTGCCTCCATGCCATCATCTTCCTTTGCATCTTCGCTTTCATTTGCCTCACCAGCTTCCTGCTCCTGGTCTTCATCCACCATGCCATCCGTGTGATCCTGAGAGCAACAAACTCCAAAAAGGATAGTTCAGCTAGGAAGAGTGAAAGAACGTGAGCATATCGGTTTATGCCAAAACACCGGACCTAATGCAGGTGGGCTTAGATCAAACGTACACTAAGTGGCCATTGGTTTCCGAACCGAGGTTTCAATGGGGCTCAATAAAAACAATAAAAACTTTACACAAAGAAAAAAATACTAATATGACATGGCCGACGGCTTCTGCAGCATTTTCCGCGTTGTCAACTCCCCTGGACAAAACAATGTTTTCAAGGATTCTGTGATGAGGTTTTCCTTATTCCTTCAAGATCTTTTGAGGCATTTGTCAAAATATATGTTAGTTCGATTACCCTGACAGCCAAAATACAGACTCTCCATGTTGAACTCCGGGAAGGCATCACCACCACCAATATCCATCGGCAACGTCTCCATGTCATCAATGGATCCCATCGAAGAGCTTTTCCTCAGATGAGCAACATGGAAACATACAAATGACGGAACCTAGGCTTCCCCCATTCAGTAAAGTATCTGAGACTTATTGCTGGCCTTTGAGTCGGGTGATATGAACGTGAATCCGGATCGTTGCTGCTTCTGGTGCTGGTAGATAACTTGGTGGCATCGCAGTGCCTTAGATAGGTTGATGAGTTCCTCATGGTTGGGGATCACGATAAGGTTAACATTATGTCCGACAATAATATGAACAACATAGTTCTTGGAAGAAACTTGCTCGATGATCCATAGTTCAAGCTCTTCATCGTCCCGCCCAAAGCCTGGGAAGAACCAACAGAAGCACCCTTGAATAAAGAAACTGTTGCACCAATGAACCTTCACAAAACTAAGATAATAACGAAGCTTCTTTTTGTGCACCAATCTTCTAACAGCCTCTCTCACCTGCCCTTCCCGTGGAACACGACCTAGCCCTGCTCGCCCTGCATCTCTCCAGGCCGTGCGGAGCCACTGATTACCTTTCACCCTGATATCTCCACCAGGGATCAAGTCCATGGTTCTCTTAACTTCGGCTGGGTCTACCCGTTTGATCATTGCCTGTGACAATATCCTTAGTTCAACATTCCCACATTGTAGTTTCCAAAGAAACCATGCACCCAGCACAATCATGATCGATATTGATGTTAGATTGGTCCAAGTGTCTGCGCAGCATCTGTGAATGCACGCGGTTGCTTCCCCATCGCGAGCAACCGGAGGGAAAGAAGCAAGGTTGAGGTTGAAAACCTATCGATTGTACTCATAAATCGTGAATTGGATTGGTTGGAGGGTGCCATATGGTTGGTGTTCGGTTGAACTTATCAGAGGCCCTTACAAAATCACTGCATCATGCATACCACCGCTTCGAGCCCATCTTGCAGGCCGTGAGCCACGCAGTGGGGCCTCAGAACAAATAGTGTGAGAACCATGGTGACAACGTTGGGTTCCAATGATTTCAAGACTTGAAAATTAACAGGTCACTAGTAGTAACAGTGGCTAACAGGCTACTTCAAGGCACCTGTTGGAGGATGCTGGTATACATAAATGATCATAAATGTAAACATATAGCGGCCGTTCCCCGTTCCATTCAACCAGGCTGGACCGCTTCTCGTTTGAAAATGTTCTGTGTGTTCATCAAACATGAAACATAATCTCTTCTCACGTTCAGGGAACATGCTGTTTGCACCCCTGGCTCACTGGGCCAAACAGGGAAGATACGCAAATTGGTAGAACTATGTAGAGTTCATACTACTCCCCCGCTCATCATCACTTATTGTCCATCGCTGGAATTGCTAGCAGAAAGCCATGTAAACACTTTCAACGAACGCGAGGGTGCCTCGAAGGCTGGCCGAGGTCGGTTTGAGGTCCATCCCTTTGGCAGGCAAAGAATTGATGGCCGTGAAAAAGTATGGCGAGTGGGCGAAACACGAATGTCACTGACAACAGAGAGGATGGCGACAGGTATCATATCCCAGATGGCAGAAGCTTGGTACCGAGAGTGACAAAATATCTTAGAATGACAATGTCAGCGTTCCAAACTTGGATTTGACATGCAACCCAGGGCATAGAAGATGGCTTCAACGCAGCAGCTTCTGTTTTCACTTCCTTCTTGGGCACAAAGTCCGATGCCAAGATCAAAGCTACCCTGGAACGAAGTAGCAATGCCGAAGGAAGTTCTCCCAAACATCGCACAGGCCATGCAGGCCATGCACCACCAATCACGGAAGGTGCCCAAGTGGAACCAAGCTTACTGGGAGTGTCAAAGCCGCGCCTCGAACCGGTGAAATCACTTGATATTGAGCTGCCTCCATCATGGACTCTGCAAGCTGGTGAGGTGGGAACGGGAACAACATGTGGCCCTTGTTACTAGTAACTTCTAGCTACTAGTAGTAATGCCCTTGTTACTAGTAGCGATGCCCTTCTTACTGACTAGTAGCGATTTCTTGTTATCCAACTGGAAATCACTGGGGCCCAAATGTTCGACGCCCTTGTTCCCCTCGTTCAGGTGGTGGAAGTGAGAACTCGAGATCCAGAGGAGAACACTTGTACATACAAGTGGACAGCTTGGCATCCAGCTGCCACTCGGATTGAAAGTCATGGTAGAGGCGACTTCAACGCGCAGAAAGCCACTGGATTTTTGTCACACAGCATACACATCAATTGTGTCGAGTGTCCTAGCTACTTGCAGTTTGCACACTGTCAGTCTTGCACGCATCAATGGGAATGGCAAAGTATGCTGTAAGCTTTTGTGTGATCAGCAGGCGAGGGGGAGTCATCAATGTCTTTTCCAACATCAATTCCAGCAGGTTTTGGTCAGCTCAGGTCGTTGGTGATGATAGTTTCAGCGTCTTCTCCTTTGACGGTGAGCCCTTACGAGCACATGCTGTTCGCAGACCGAAAGGACAAGATCTTCTCCGTGTCAAGCAGACCACGTCGCTTCCACGGTTGGAACCTCAAGATAATCAAGCATGAACAGCAGCAGGAGGGACGATTTTATTCCAGCTTCGAGTGTGTATGATGGCGTTGAATAGACTTGGCACACTGAAGGGATCCTGAAGATTCTTCGTCTTTGGCCCGTCCCAATGTCAAAATGCTTCAGACTCAGATGCCCTCACCAGGCTTCAGGTACTGTATGTGAGAGTGGGACTTACCGAGGGGACTCTTGTGACTTCTAAACAGTTTCTCACCTGGGACCCTTTTTGGTTCCGGTGATGTTTGTTCCCCACTGATTAGTGCCACAGAATCGCTGGGCCTAAGGCATGGGGATACCTGTTTTGCAGCTTGCCGGTGCGACAGGCGCCTGGCAGAAATCCTTTTGTTCATTTTGCAGAATCTCTGATGCTTCTGTTCCTGGCAAGAAATGGCAGGCAAGAGAAGGCTTTCTATCAGTGGCTTGAAAGCTTGCCGTCAAGCTGCCAATTGGTTCTCTTGCAGGCAACTCGTTTGAGTGCGGGACGTTGCACTCGACAAAGAACAGTTGACGCCAGACATGCATGTTTAATCCGCCCTGATTCTCCACAGGTTGGAGCCAGCAACAACGAAGAAACAATGCGGGTACAACGAGCTGCTCAAGGTTTTGCTCAGAGCAAACTGATTCGAGACTTGCTTCTTTTGGACACTGTGGACATGGATTGACAGATAGTTGAGCCTCTCCTACTGTACTGTTGTATATGCATCGGAAGAAACCTGGGGAGTATTTCTTTGCGGTCGCCGTAGGGGTAAGCGAAGCCTGGCTGCATAACCGATAGGGCCTCCGATAGGGGCAGACCGGTTTACTAATACCCCTTGTATATGTGGTATACGGTATACTTTTGCTTTCATGTTGGCATATGTGGGAAGATGTGGGAAGTTCCTCTCGAGCCAGTTCCTTCTCAAGATGAAGGTTTCAAGGTTCGACTCAGTTTGTTGGGCGTTGGTGCTGGTCGACGTACAGAGAAGCTTTACACAGAACACTAATTCAACAGACCTTCGGGACTTGAGCGAGACTTTACCCATACCCCCTACGGATACCGACCGATACCCTACTTGTCGATTCTGCCCGGGCAGGCAGCCCCCCACTTGCAAGCTCACTGATAGCCTTCTTGGCATTTACCTTTTGATAGGTTATGGGAAGTTAGATGCGAATCAGGGTTCGTACGGCAAGATATCTTTTCCTGTAGCTGGACATCAATTTATTATAAAGAATCCTACTACTCCCATGATCCATGTTTAAACAATTAAGGATTTCAAGTTTGAGTCTACATGAAAAAACAAGGAAGAACAGGATTCCATAAAACCCTCAAAACACTGGATTTTATATAGGACAACAATTTGAGGAGTTTCTAGGGAACCTCTAATCTACCAAAGAATGTAGGCCGGAGTGGACCCTAGAAAAAAAAAACAAGGTTGCAGGAAAATATGCTTGCGCACCAGACGGCGAAAGTGGGGGGGGCAGGACGGTGTGTTGGTATTTCAATTGTTTTCGTGGCTGTTGGTTCCTGTTGCCCCATTGCGGTGGAATGCTTGGTGTTGTTTGTTTTGAAGCTGCTCTCAATATCCATCCGTCCCAGTGCTTGAAAAGAAGGTGTTTAGCGCCTAATTAAAAAAATGGCAGTTGAGCACTAAACATTGTGCCCGAAGAAGAAAGACGCATAGAAGAAAGAAGAAGGACAGCTTTAAAATCCTTAGCATGCTTTCCTCGATGCTGCACAGAAAAATACAATATCGGGTTTGGGAAGTTCCGCGGAAATGCTCTCGTTGACCTTTTTGTTAAATGCTTTCAAGTAACCAGGACCATCAGGATTTAGTACAAAAAATTTGCACCTTAAAAGCGCCACTTCTCGTAAAGAACAATATATACGGAGACCGTGCGTGTTGCTGGGGAAATTTATACTATTCAGTCTTCCTGCCTGGCCTGGCGTACGAAGGGTGATGATGTGACCACAGAAGCTGAATCCAGTTTCTCGGCCCGACCCTTCCTGCCATCCTTGGCAGGAAACAAACCTTAGAACCCACTTGTCTTGCAGGATTGGCAGGCTTTCACGTTTGCGGCTGCTTTAATTTCAGGAAAGCAACTTTAGTCGGGTTGAGATCGAGGGGTTGGGCAGCAAAAATCGGCAGATCTCCCAAGAAAGTGGCCCGGCGCGATTTCCAAGTGCTGGTTACGTCCGTGGCAACAAGTCTTCTTCGATTCTATGTGCTCAACAAGCTTTTAGGCGGCCCTGCGCACACACAAACATGAGGCCGGATTCGCCCTCCCTCCCTACCTCCTACTCCTACTACTACTACTACTACTACTACTACTACTACTACTACTACCGCTAGCGTACACTAGCCACATATACTACTAGAATAATATCCATTATAATCCCCCTGGGAGTTGACACTAGAATCTGACATCCCAGGGTGTCTGTTTGGACAGGAGAGATTCCGTTCGGTTTTTCTACTACAAAATCAACCCTAGGTCTCCGACTGATCATCAAAAATCACAAAATCTCACCTGCTCAAGTGCGGCTGTTTGAAGCGTTTGTTGTTGTTGTTGTTGTTGTTGTTGATTTTGGAAGGTTGGCCCTGTTTTTTTGCAAAGTCATGATTCACGGGAAACAACAATTGCAAACATATAGAATAATCATAACTCAGAATCTGGAACCTTCTAGACACCGTGACAGTTAAGACATGGAATTCGATACATGGATTATGTTTTAAGCAACGTGGATCATTCCACGTGTTGCAAACTTGGAAGCGCGCGGACAAACTCTACAAAAAAAGTTTCCCTGCAGGGTCAAACCATGTCAAATAAACACTCGAAACTATTCACTACAAATTATGCCTCAGAGCCTGTGAGGTCAGAATCTGTAGACCTCACAGGGTGTGCTCGCTTGAGGTTGGGTTGTCATGTTGTAACTTAAGTTGTAACTACACAAAAGAGACACCCCACCTTTTCCCGAACGCCCACACGGATACATGATATGTTGTGTATATATTGCGTATGTACACACCAGTTCTTTTGCATGCTCTTAGCGTCACTTGTAAAAACATTTCACATGTGAAAAATGTTTCATTTGCGTACAGGTCTCTCGAAATGTGCCCCAGAGATAAAAGCCTGCAGAGTCGATACCTTCACTTTGTGGAGTCTTGGAAAGCGCCAAACCTAGGGGCGCACGATGGCTCACGCAATTTGGGTATGGCATTTACGTTGAACACGGACATTTTCCGCCACTCACGTAGATGCATAGAAGTATTGTGAAAATAGTGAAATACAGGAACACTGTAGCGGTCAGCTATGGAATGTGGCATGCAGACACCGCGTAGACTAGATCTTGGCACTTTGTTATATGTTATTGTGTTCACCCCACACCTCTACCAAAGCATAGTGTAGTGCCGGGACTGTGTTGTGCGGATCTGGTTCATATTACAATCAGAAAGTGTCCATGGCACGTCATTGGCATCGGTGTCTTGAGGAATCGGCAGGGCACGGCCACCGAAGCATTGGGCTGGCCGGTGTGCTCATATTTTTCATGACACTGCTGCTGGGGTGCAGCAATTGGTTGAGGCTCTTGGCGAAGCGCCAGAGGAAGTGCAGGTTTCGGAAGGACCACAACTGCCCGAGCAAAACCGAAGGGCATCTGGGGCACCTGTGGTTTCTCAACTGCCAGATGAAAGCGCACCAAGCTCCAAGAGCAGCGTGAGAGAGGAAACGAACAAGTCGAAACAGACACAAAGAGACTCTGACAATTTGATTCATTGGGATGAGCTCGATGCAATCGAGATCGAAGAAACTTATGTGCTTGGGCAATTTGTTGACTTTGCGGCTGGCATCTTTGCGGAGTCACAGGACCAGGAAGATTCGGGGCAGGAAGATTAACATTGACAGCCTCCTCGGGCCTCTATTTTTCATTGCGCATCTGAAGAAAGAACCACCTCATCGGGAGGATGCAAAATAATATCATGCAAAAGCGTAAACAAGGCTTGAGATGTTCGATGGACACTGCAAGGCAACTGTGGGCGGCCCATGTATGTTGTGCACCTGATGATAGGTGGGAATGGGAATGAAGCGAGCCTCGAGCCCCCAAATCTTTCAAGACCAGCCCAAAGACGTGGAGGTTCGGCTTGGCCAAGCTGGTGGCAATCTCAAGTCAGTCTGCAGCACCTCGCCGCTGGGCCAGGATTTGCATTGTCTTGATTTTTCAGGACTTTTTGCACCTTGAACGAGTTCGATCAATCGAACCGTAATTATTTCAGCCGTCCAATCGCACTCACATAAATCTACAAAATATATAAAATATATATATATATAATATATATGTATATGTATAAACACATATATATTATATATTGTATACATATATATATATATCACAAAAGCCAGCCGGTAGGCTAGCTTGAGTTTCTTGCGCGAACGAAGTGAGTAAAGGGGGCGTGGGGGGGGCGGTTGCGTGGTCGGTCACTTCCGGAGAGGTGAACCCAGAGCCTGGTGGGAGAGAGCGACAAAAAGAGGCGGGCCACTTGGTAGTGAAAACGAACTTGGGGGTGTTGTGACGCCAGCGATGTAATTGACGGCCAGTAGTGCATTATCATCATCATCATGAGGGGCTCAGGAGGCCATGTAAACTGTCTTTACTAGGGTGGGAGTTCACGTCGATGAGAGGAAAGCGAGACAAGGGGACGTGAAAAGCTGATTAGAAGTCACCGTATACTTGAGAGCAGGAAAGAGAACCCTTTTTCACCTCCACAGCGCCCCGACATCAAGACGAAAAAGGGCGCCCCGCCCCAAACCTATGTATTCTATTGCCTATTTCCAGTCTATCTCGAATGACGGCCATATCCACTTCACCACTTCCGTCCACTCTACCTATATACATATATGTATCCTCACGAAAGCCTGCCGATAGGCTCGCCCATAGGCTTCCCACAGTCATCTTTGCTCACTGATTAGAAACACGCAGCAAACTAATATAATATGTTTGAGGATTTTGAGGGGCGCCCTTTTTCATCTCCAAAACACTCCTCAACCAGAACGAAAAAGGGCGCCCCCCCTTTGTACTTCTATACCGTCTGTTTCTACCTCCTATCACGCACCGGCGATGCCAACTTCACCCCATACACGTACTCTTTACATAATGTTAGCCTATCACTTCATCTTCCACCCGCACATCGCTCCCATATCCACCTCACCACTTCCTGCTGCTCTTTTTCCATTCTACCTTGCACACTGATGTCTATATGGGGACCTCCTCACCTACCCTACCCTTTGCCTCGCACGTGCACCCCCGCCGCCGTCTCTGCTCCCTGGTTCGCAACACGCCGCCGGCAAAGGCCTCACCTGCTGAGGGGTGCCCTTTTTCATTTCAATATTCCCCCTAAAGAAGGACAGAAAAGCTCCGCCCCCCCCTGACCTACATCTTCTACTGTTCATTTCTACCCCCTCTGCCTGTGGCTGCGATGTCAACTTCGCACCACGAACTTTCTCTTTCCCCGATGGTGCCCCATCACTTCCTTTTGCTCGCCACGTCGTTGCCCGAGCCTACCCTAAGCTGGCTTTCGTCCCCTCCCCTCTCAGGTGTATATATATATATATACATATCCGTATTCACGCATATGTTGTTTCATCCCGAATGAATGCAGACACCTAAAAAAAAACAAATCGACGAACACTTACAGCCGGCTCTTAACAGAGCTTTGGGTGGGTCAAAAGCTGCGTTGCGACCAGAATTCAGTTTTTGCTGGGCTATGTTGTTCACACCCTCACTTGTATATGCCAACCAACAAGCGGCAACAGTTTGAAAAACGCTGGGCCCTGGGCATGAACAGAAGAAACAACCTTAGTTGAAAGCTGCAGAATAGATCTTGAACAAGACTCCGCCTTGCGCGTCTCAAGCAAGCGGAGATTGCAGGCTCGTATTTGGGGTTTGTGCAGAGGAGGGGGATTCAAGACTTTACTTTTGTTGCCTGTTGGCCACCGGAGAAGCCGGTAAAGTGTCGTCTTGTTTTTTCCAACAGCGCCCCGTGCTCCTAATAGCGATGCCAGGAGCCCCTAGTAATATATAGTAGTTTCTTATTCCTAGTAGTAAGGCCAGGAACCCCTAGTAGCGTCCTTGCTCCTAGTAGCGATGCCAGGAGCCTTGCTTCCATGTTCAATGTTTGCTGGGAGAGTAGGAAATGGGAGATGCTGTTGGGAAGACGGGTTCGCTGGCGAGGTTTACAAAAGATTGCGAGTGTTTTGCCTTTACAGGTGGGTTAGTTACAGTAAGACTTGAACTTTCAAAACTGATGTTATATATGTATGTTTATGATCTCCAGTGATGCTGGTAATGCATCCCACAGCGTTTAGCATTACTGGACTTGCTGTTTGAAAACAATGATGACACATGGGTGAGTTGGGAGATTGGATGATGATGACAGGCGGATAGAAGCGCTGAAGCAGCCACCAAGGTTATATGCAGGATATCATACGTTGGGGACCGGGCAAAAATATGTCATGTGGGAAGCTGCGACCCAGGTAAACCAGAGTCAGAGGAAAGCTAGACGCAGGAGGCAAATCAAGTGACTCCAGCTCTACCGATCACTGGCTGAGCTGGCTCCATGCCGAAGACCGAATTGGAGAAAGCTTCCGGCCACAAGAGATGCTCGGAACTGTGCTATGCCAATCCAATCAAGACAAGAAGGCTCAGGAGCAGACGGTCCTGCCTTTGTATTGGTTCAAGAACACGAGGATTTTTCTGTGGGCTCCGTGCCTGAATTTTGATCCATGCTGGAAGGCGTGCTAGTGGCCCATCATACCGGTGAATGCACACTCTCATGTTTGAACGGCATTGTCGGCCACTCATGAAAGGCTGGAGAAAATAGTTGCATTTTTGTGCCTCGGTCTTTACACGATTACAAGAAATCTGCTTCTGCTGAACGGCCCTCCTTGGAGATCACTGCATGGGAGCATTGGATTGGAGCTTGGTCGAGCACACCGATTTCCTTTGACCACTGGTTGCAATGTTTACTTGCGATGTAATTCAAATCTGCATACTTTGGAAGTGTGTTGCACACTATAGCAGAGCTTTTGAAGCTTGCGGCAGATAAACAATGATAAAGACATAGGGAACGGCCCAGAAAAATCTGGAGGTAATGACTGAGGCGCTAGAAGCAACGGTGCCTTGCGTGCTGGCAGACATGGCGAGCGGGCGACTGCTTCCGCAATCGCTGCGGTGGTCAAGCGAGGAGTGGAAAAAGAGGCAAATCTCGATGTGAAATGGAAGCAACATGAAGCGACCCTAGTTCAATCTATTTGACCCCTAAATATGAACAAACCTTGACTATCAAGCAAGCCAACGTACTCTAGTTTCGGGGTGCTAGGTTTTGACCCACATCCAAGTATGACCATGGGTTGAAGAAATTGGAAGAATTCCTGTTCTCCGCCACACAGCTTGCTGAGGCTAAAGCACATAAAGCCGTTGGAGCCTTTTGTTTGCTCTGCATGAAGCAGCGTGAAGCGATCCCATCGCAGATGAACATGGGCCAATAATGATCCAAGAAGTACCACAGAGGTTAAGCCTTAAGTGTCCTTCAAGGATCAACAACTTACGACCTGTCAGAGAGCTGTCAGCACAGGTTTCCCTTGGTTACCCTGTTGCGAAGTGAATGAGTAGTGGCTTTTGTTGACTCAAGATCACTCAAGATCTTGGTAAGTTCAGTTATGATGTCAACAGTGGACATGCAAACCAGCACGGCATAGCACGGCTGGCCACCGTGCAGCTTATGGCGTTTGCTTATGGCCAGCTTCAACACTGTATTGCATCGAACACAGGACTGGACGCGAAGCAAAAGCCGCACATGACATGAGTTGAGTTCACTTTTGACCATGAAGGGTTTGTACATGTTTGTACTATATGCACGGATTGACTTGAAAAAGGGATATCAATTGCTCAGTTGCAACTGCAAGTCATCCGAAACTACACGGGCCGCTGGGACACAAACTCTTCAAAACTCACCTGCGACCGAATCTGGTATGCTTAAACTTGACATAAGCAGGCCGTACTTAGCATGTTAGAGGTAAGATAGCTCCCATGTGGCAAAAGCTCTACTCACATAGTCTCGACCGAAAGTGTGCCATGTCTCTACAGACACCTGACTAAATTTCACAAACTTTCAACGTGTGGGAGGGCTCTAAAATCGGTTTTGCAATTCTCTCCATCAGATTCCAAGCGGTAGTTAAAGAGACCTCGGACGTCTTTGAGCAGCCTTTTTAGTTGAATATGTTGACAGAACCGGAATATCATGTTGAACATGCATTACTCTCTGTCGTTCCACAGCTTAGCAGCTCGCAAGAGGTTGCTTGCTTACGATGTACTTGGTCAGCACCCCTCCAGTCACTTGCAAGGACGAGGCCACGCAGAATCTGCTGGGAACTGCCGGCATCCGGAGTCCAAAGTGATGCGTTCGGAAGTGGTGGCTGTGGCAGCTTTGTCAAGGTTGATACCCCACTACCGCCACCCCAGCCACCACCCTCAGGCACCACAAAGTGTTCTGGTTTGTGTTCCTGGTCTTCAACTTGCTCCGTTGTGTGCGGAAAGCACAAACCTTTATTGGCAACGTTGGGGTTCGTTCGCAGGCCCATCGCAGCTTGGTCCGAGCGTGTTCTTGCCCCAGATTGCAGACTTCATTGATTTCATTGCAGACTTGGGCTTTTGGGCCAAGGTCAAATGGAGCACCCATCCCTCCTGCACTGGAGGTGAAATCCCAAGAGGTGCAAAACGTCCCTTCTCGGTGAGTGCCATGAGGTCACAGCTCCCATCGGCTCGGCTCAGGCGTCACCTTTGCCCTTTGCTCCTAGTAGCTTGTTGCTCCTAGTAGCTTTGCATGTAAACCAGCCTAAGTATCTTGAGTGTTTTGCAAGTCCAGGCCGCATCAAGGCTGATGGGAACTGAGAGTCTTGGAAACATGAAGAATTGTCAAAATGGTCGGACATGTTCCGTTTTTGGGCATTTCATAGGGAATGGCCGTACAACATTTTGATGGTCCCTCAGACGTCCAAGTTGTTTGAAGAAAGGTCTTTAGTCAAGCGAGATAGCAAAGCCAAGGACCGAGGACACCAAGCGTCGCTGCCTCGGAGAAGGATCGCTCCAGCATTTGCGAATCGGTGTACTTCCAGTGTACTCTAAGGATCCCGTGCTGATGATGTTTGTTTCTCAGAAATGGTGCCGATGAAGAGTAATGAAGAGCCATCAATATTTATACAATATATATATATACATACATATTTACATCTCATGACATCTCACTAGCTGGCGTGCATCTAGCCTAGATCAGTTTGGTAGGCCGAGACTTGAAGTGAGAAGTTCGGTGTCGCCACTGGTGTTTGATGCCTTTCGGTCCTAGGCTCAACGGGAGAAGACTGAGATGCAAGCCACGCAGTTGCCCGAGACCACCCGACCCAAGCGACTTGATTTAGTGGCCTCTCATGTGCAACACTTGAGCAAGTAGCTGTGTGGTACATCAGCAAAGCGCACAAACCGATGGTTGGCCCACAGAATTTGAGACTTCATCTCTTCGACTGTTTTGATGACTGTTTTGACAGCCCGGGCAGCGAGGGTTACAGTTAGTGGATGATATCATTGGTGCATGGTTGATTGAAATTATTGTTTACATATGCAAGCACACGCCCCTGCCTGTGAATCAGCTGTGCGTCCTAGTGCTGTGCCATTCACGCTCTTTGCGAAGCAGAATTGCTTTCCTCCTCTTGGTGAGGTGCTTCCGAATGGTCTTGAATGGAGAGATCGAGTCAGCAGAGATGGGCCATTGTCCAAGCAATGCTGAAACCTAATGTCACTGCGCAACACCTGACCTCAGGAAGCGGAGGCCATGGGCCACTGATGTGTATATTTTCAGCTGGACCCTCCAGTGATTGCTATTTCTATATCAGACATTGATGAAACTTTTGCAATGAAAGCTGCAAGCTGCAAGTCACTGAGATGCAGCATGGACCAGATTGGACCGTGGTATCTGGAGCGTCAGATGGGCTAGCATCTGAGAACCAGTGCCAACCAGGCAATAACCACCTCCTACATAACAGACATTCATTAAGGTTTTCCCAAACCGAGATTACGCGTCATTCTTGCATACCAAGGATCACACAACTTGCCTGTGCTTCGGTGCCAACGTCATCCTTTGCACACCTGCCATGACATTCTTTTGCACTCAGACAAGTTCGGACTACAATGTGGAGTCGTGAACTCCCAGTCGGACAGCAAACGTTGTTCTATGTGCTGTAAGGCTGTAAGACATTTGGACAAGTCTGTGCAATACAAGTCACATTTTCGATGCACAGAACCTCCCTATGGACAACAACATGTCAAACGGTCACACGGATGTGGACATAGGTAATAGTGCTTGTTGGTATCGGAGTGGAGGTTTTGCCAGCATCACAGAAGGTCACAGATTTTTGGGCAGAGCTGTAGTTCATGCAAAGGGACATTCAGCTCAGTATTATGTGTTAAGCTGAATGTTCAGTATTATATCGTATTATGATCCCCACCAGCTCATCCACATGTGGCAGGTCACCTCTTGGAGGGGTGGTTTGGCCGAGTTTGTGCGGGCCTCACATCATCAAAGTGTGATCATATCATCAAAGCACAGTGGAGAGGTGTGGAGCTTTCCTTTGGGAGTGGTCTACAAGTCAACTTCGTCAGGGACAAAGCTGGTGTTTGGTCCGAAGTTGTACGACGCAAGAGTGAGCCTTTGATGGCCTGGTTGTTGCACTCTCAAGGCCATTTGGGTGGCCACGCATCGTGGTGACTGTCTACGGCGGGAGCTTCAGATTTATTAGAGTCCCAACCACATATATCTTGAAGCCAAAGTGTTAGGAACAGACCTTTGCAATCGTCGGGTGGCCAGAGCCTCAACCGATGAAACGCATTGCAAGAAACAGAAGAAAGGACTAAAGGCTTTAGATGATTTAAAAGGTCCAAAGAAAGAAAGGAAGGAAGAAACAAAGAAAGGTAGATAGATTGAAAGATAGATAAGACAGAATGAAAGAAAACGCATAAAAAAAGACTACTAATTGGTAGAATTTGCCTCACAAGGTGAAGGGCTACGGCTCCGTCCATGTTCCATGCCAACCTGGAAGGCATACCCGCACGCGGAGCCCTCAAATGTACGGAAAGCTCAAGCACAAAAGCAGTGAGTTTTCCCATGTTTTGCTCCAATGTACGGAAAGCCAAGTTTTTGAGATTTGATCAAACTTGATCAAATTGAGGATCCGTCTCTACTGCCCTTTGTCTTCCTCGCCCTTGACCAGGCTGTTGGGCCATACACTTAGATACCACACCATTGCTGCCGCGTGATGGTCAGTTTGCGCAAGACTGCAAGACTAGCTGACTAATTGGGACCTCTAGCAAGAGGCGTCCTGTCACTATTGATAATCTTGAATGCTTTGCATTTTCTTGGGGGCCTTGTCAAGGTGCTTTGTTTGGCAACCCCGCCCAGCTGGTAGATCCGCGAATCCTGGCCGGAACAGATGGACGTGAGGTGCAGCTTGCTTTCTGCATGTTGTTGTTCTTATTAAAAAAATATATATATATGTTTATTTACGTATTTACTTAAAGCTGTGAATAAGATGCTAGAAGTCCCAGAAATGATATTCTGAACTGGGTGTTTCTGCTTGGCAGGTAATTCGAGTACAATCTGGCGGAAAGGCAGGCACTTGACTTGACAACCTCAACAGCCTCACCAGGTTTGGCCAGGGGCACATGTGTCCGCCAGCCGCAGGTGCGTGTGCACTTTGACGTGATGCTGAAAGACACCAGTTCTTTCAACTACGCCTTCTGAAACCACTGATTGTCAGTGGGTGTCACAATTAGTTGGGGTGAAAGGGCAAGCAGACCTGCCCGCTCGCTTGTGTACCATAGCAAAATAAACACGAAAACGAGAACCAATGCCAGGTGTTGTGTTCCAGGAATATCCAAGGTCAAATCATGAACCTGGAGGAACATCTTGAGGGGTTGCTTGGCAGAAGCAGGGAAAATGACTCGCACTTTCTGGGTTCCCAAATAATGAATCCCAACAACAAGTGCAGCGGGCCAATGCTGGGAACGTGCTGCTTGCAAGACTTCACCGGTTGATTTATATAATTTATTATAGATGGATCGACAACAACCCATTCTCGGTGATGATGAAACAACGTTCTTTGATTCTCCAGGCTCAAAGCTTGATAGTCGATATTGCTGTGGCGAACCCTTGATGTGAGAAGTCACCGCGTGCGACAATCTTGACAAGCCCTAGACAACCAAAGCTAGATTTTCTGCATGCTGGTTGCCGGCGGTCTTTGCCACCAATTTCACCATGAAGGTTGTTGTAAGTCTAAGTTCTTATCAGACTGCAAGTGAGGTTTATTTAAGCCTATCACTGAAGACTGAACCGGTCACCCGTCACTCTAGGCATTCAATTGACATTCCCACCAAGTCTTGTCTAAAACGGCAACATGGCGGGGTCCAAAAAGAAAGCGGTGGTGGCACCCAAAAAGCCAAAGAAAAAGAAGGAGAAGAAGCCTCCCGAGACTCTGGTGGAGGAAGAGAAGATTGTTACTGTGACCTTCGGCGATCACGAGTATACAGGTTATGTAAAGGCAGATAGCCTTTCAAGGCGATTCCTGGAAGGTGCAGCATCCAAATACGTTTGGCAAAATGGTTGTAGATATGAAGGGCCTTTCCTGCAGAGCGAAATTGAAGGCGAAGGGAAGTACACCTGGCCAGACGGCTCAACATATCAAGGTTATTTGCGAAATGGCAAAAGGCATGGATATGGGGTGTTTACTGCTGCGGATGGCATCACTAAATACCAGGGCCAGTGGTTCGAAGGGAAAAGGCATGGCAAAGGCCGCTTGATCTTCGATGCAGACGGTGAATCCTTTTACGATGGTGATTGGTGTGACGGCTGCAAACATGGGGAAGGCCGGCAAGTATGGCCGAGCAAAAATACATATGAAGGCCACTGGGAAGAAGGCCGAATGCATGGCTTTGGCACAATGACCTGGTTTGATAATGGAATGCTTGAGGTGTACACAGGCCAGTGGGCTCACAATGTACCTCAAGGCCAAGGAAAATATACTTGGCATGCCTCTGGTGATGCTACCTTTGGCAAAGAGATGCCGGTGCAACAAACAAACAATAGCTTTCAGGGCACATGGTCTCAAGGTCTTCGCTCAGGATATGGCACCTTCCAGTTTGCGAATGGTGCCAAGTATGAGGGTCAGTGGACAGACAATGTCAAGCACGGGGAAGGACGCTACACGTTTGAGGATGGGCGGATTTATGCTGGAGAGTTCATATCAGACAACATGGCAACACCCTGTGCCCAGCATCATGAATCCACTTCATCTCAAGCTTTGAATCTGGGTGGAGTGGACAACCCCGTGCGTCGCTGCATTGAGATTGCAGACTTGGCCGGGTTTTGCATGCCAAACGACAGGATAATCACCGATCCAGCAGAACTCACGGGATTTAATGAGCCTAGCGATGTTTTCCGCGAGATCTACAACATTCTCTTGCGGCACTTGGGTGATTTGAAGAAAGTTTATGCAAGTATGCGCAATGCTATCCACAGACCTGGTGATGATCCATGGCTTGTTTACATGTTTCACCTTTGGATGCTGGTCCGAGATGTGGGGATCTTGGCTCCGGACTGTCCTCTTGCTCGAGTGGATCGCCGCATTGTTTGTGGTCTTCGACAACATGGGGAGGCCTTCCCTGAAGATGTCGGGGACTTGCGGCCCTTCACACCCAGGCAGTGGCTCGGGATTCGCTGCAGGGTCGGGATTTGTCCATCTCTAGGAGAGTAGGGCTGAGGAGTCTCAAGTAAGCTAACAAGTGAGGAGCAGCTACTAATCCAGCTTAAGTAGCTATAGGAAATTATAGGACTTCTTGATTCTTTACCGTGTTTTGCAGGTCACTTCAAAATCGGGTACCGGGTGATGCGGAACAACCCAAACTGCGGGAAGCTTGTGTGGCAAGGAATTGTGAAAGATCCTCATTCGTATTGATTCATACAATATGAATTTACTTGCCATGTTCACATGGATATGATGGTTTGTGCATAGTTGGCAACCATGCAGTTTGCGCAGTTGCTTTCTCATCTGCCTTTCTGTCCATTTAGGTCGCGACGAGCATCAAAAGTTGGAGATGAAGGCAAGGGATTGCACACGCACACATAACTGGGTGTCTATACATAAACGGCTACAAAGACCTTGGTGCAGCAGTGGACTCTTTAATGGTAGCGTTGAAGATTGTGCACATGTGATAGGGCTGGGGACGGAAGCAGCAGCTGAAGATCAGGTCCATGAGCTTTCACATCCAATTGCATGCCACCCTTCTAGTTCAAAAAGAGAGGGACTATTTGACATTGAACATATTTTGTCATTGAACAGAACTTTCTTGCTCTTTCTGTATACGATACACACTATTTGGATCTTCCACTTGCAGGACCCCCTTGATGAGGATGAGTATGAGGATGAAGAAGAAGGTGATGAAGAGGACAGATTAGATGTGATGGAACAACGAGGAGCTCAGTGACCACTTCGGAGACTCCTGTTCACATCACTGAGGATGAAGACGCTGAAGAAGCAGATGCAGATGTGGATGACGGAGATGCTGATGTGGAAGACAAGAAGAGCTCCAGAAGTAGAACTAGCCGGACTAGTCGGCAAAGCCGAACCAGCAAGCAGAGCCGCACAAGTAGGCTCAGCCGCACCAAAAGCCAAGGCAGGGTGCTGAAGAACAGAATTCCCTTTGCTTTGAACTTTGAAGCTTCGCACGACTGGCAGGTAATGTTGCTGTCGGGTACCAAGCCAGAAATAAACTGGGTTTGGCTCAGAAAACCCTTGAACCAAAGTCTTGATCGTTTAGAGAATAGAAACCAACTTCTGAACCACACCCAGTTAGTTTTGACTTAACCTTCAGGGCAGCCATTCTGTGTGGTTTGTGGTTTGCATATGTGTGCATACAATTCTAAGTAGACTGTGGAGACCAGGGCAGCCGGCGTCCAACCATCCAGTCACTTGGAACTCGGTGCGCCCTTGTTGTGCGAATATATGAATTGATGCATTGTGTTCAGCGGTGGTCAGCTCGGACGCTACTGGCAAGCTTGGGCTTGGACTCCAGGCAATTATCTTCCATCGGACCTATCGACTTTTTCTTTGAACAGAACAAGCTGCTTGGCAAGCTTCACACGGAAAGAAAAGCTCAGGCAGGCTGTGCAACAATCGAATCATGCTTGTCCGAGCAAGCTTTGCAAGAACTTTGGTGCAACTTTTGCAGATGCTTTTATTGTTTTGCACGCTTCATCATTGTACTGGACAGACGACAGACAGATAGACTCGGATAGACGGTGTCAGTGTCACTTGGTGCGAAAACAACAGCCTTCACTTGGTTAGCCCAGGTTTTGGAGGCTTGCAGACGCTGAAGCGGCCTCCAGGTTGATAGATGCCATCAACTCAGTTGCCATGCACAGCCCAAATTGACACTGTAGCACCTCCAAGCTAAAGACAGCTTCCCCGTGGAGCTGGCTTGGTCGTTGGTTGTTCAGTTCAGCGATTGTGGCGTTGGCACCACTTCAAGGTCCACTCACCCAACGCGCCCTTGATGCCTGAGACTGAGATGCAGTATGGGTGGCTGGATGTCAGATCGGGCTTGGGAATCAACAGATCAGACACTCATTGACTGATGGTCACAGATAAGTTATATTGTCATAGATGAGCCTGGTGACCCGATTGCCGATGATCACTGCTGCAGGTTCCGGCACTTCCTAGAGGCACTTGTCAGAATGACACAGGTTGCATACCCAGAAAAGCAGGCTGGGGGATAGCTTGTTGTCATTAAAACACAAATTAATCATTTGTTTGTAATATTTTCTTATTTTTGCGTATCGATTCGAACATTCGCCAGGGACTGGAGTCAATGTTGAAAGGGCTCCTTCGAGAGCGGATTCTGCCCAAGGCGGACTGGCGTGGCACGAGTCGAAAACATACATCAGAGAGAGACTTCTATTTCCCAGATAGCTGCAGGCTATAGGGGTTTTAACTTCTCAATGGTGTGGCTTTGAATCGACGTTTGGTTTTGTGGGTGCTGCTACCGTGCTGATGCTGGTGCTGCTTCGTGCTGATGCTGATTCTTGTGCAGGTGCAGGTGCTGGCTTTGGATCGGCGATTTGGTTTTGCAGGTGCTGCTGCTGTGCTGGTGCTGGTGCAGGTGCTGGATTTGGATCGGCGTTTCGTTTTGCCCGTGCTGGTGCAGGTGCTGGTGTGGGAGCTGAATCGACGTTTTCTTGTGTTTTCTTGGGGCGTGCTGCGCGGGTGCTGGATCGGCGTTATGTGTGGGCGTGCAGGTGCTGGTGCTGGCCCCTGGCATGACATGATGTCATCCCTGGCGTGACATGATGTCATCCCTCGCACTACATGTCATCGCATGTTTTCCCATGAACGAATGACGCAAGGTTTTTTT